CCTCGTCGGCTCGATCGGACGACGAACGGACGGACGTTGCGCGATTGGAAACTGATCAGGATCTATTCATAGATCGAAACGACTTCGGCGCCCTAGTCAAAGTGGTTTTTCCGCGTACGCGAAGGCTATATCACGCCGGTGGGACCACGGGGCGCACATGAGCCACGCGAACCGACCGCGGTCGGTCTGAAAGGGGTGGCCTTTGTGGCACCCTGATTATCTCCCTCTCCCTCGCCCTTTCTTTCTCCTTCTCTCTCACTCGATCTCTTTCTCTGTCTTTCTCTCTTGCTCTCTTCTGGCATTTCCTCGACTCGTAGCAACGACGACTGGTACGCGTTATATCCTCCCCGATCGATAGTAAACGCGCCCATGAAAGGGTCGCAAATATTCTTCACGGGGCTGCGCGCCAAGGAGGGCTGACGCAAGAAATTGTTGTTCCGAAAGTTTCCGGGATAATACACTTCCTCCTTTGCTCTCTCGTCCCGCCGCTGACGTTTCAAATTTGCGAAATGCTATATTTTGATGAACGTTGGAAAAACGTGTTAAAAAAATGAATGAATTTTGCTTTGGAGATTAATAGTTATTTCTATGTTATCACTCTTTCTTTTCACGAGGTATTTTAATATTTTAGAAAACCGAAATCCTTTTTTATTAATAAGGCTGATCTGATCCATGCTATTCTATAAGTAAATATCCAATCGATCGATCTCTCAGCTTAAAATCGTCATGTAAAAATTAGTGTTAAATTCTATCTAAATTAAGTGCTGATATAACATGTTTTGCAAAATTTTATTAACGTGTGCAGCACGTATAAGATAATATACTCGAGTACCTTGAGCACATCAAAACCTCTCTTGGTCTCACCGTATTTTAACAGCTGCTGGCAAGTGACGCCAGAAGAAGTTCCGAGATATGCGGTAAACGTTGAACTGAATGCAAGGCTTACCGGTAGGTAACCCAGACCGCGACGCTTTTATATTTTGTGTCATTAAGACGAGATGGCGACTACCTCCAATATACCGCAATGATCTTTATTATGTAATATGCCTTTAAATTAAAAAAAAAACAAAGATGAATAAATGGTGTGTTATGACTTCAATCTCGAGTCATTCACCTTTGGGACTCGCTTATCAAAAATAGCACTGTATATTCCCGTGCGTTAAAAAAGCAGAGGACGTCGGTAAGCTGAAGAAGCGTAGAAGGAAGACTATATAGGCTTTCAATGAAGGAGAAGATAATCTGGGCTTTCGCAATCATCGACGAAGATAATGTTAATAATTAAAATAATAATCGCCCAACCAGATCTTCGTCAGCGCGTTTCTCGCTTTGCTCTCCATTTTACAAATTTAAAAGGAAGGAACGTAAACGAAATATATACAGATTTTATGGAGACATTTTTGTAGATATTCCGTCTACTTAAAGATGCATTTTGCGGGTATCTTTCTCATAATCGCCACCCCGTATCTGCCCGATGTCGCGTTGCGATTTTCCGAGCTTCTCTTCGTCCGATCGCCAACGGTGCGAGAGCGCCGGAGCCGGCGACCTTACGACTGGGTGAGATTGACTGATTGCTGTGAGCCAGGGATTCGATTGTGATCCACGTGCGAAATGACGTACGCGACGAAGACAGACGCGGCCATGCGCGATGACGATGATGATGGCAATTCTTCTTCCCGCAAAGTGTGTCACACTCGCTGCGCGACGAGATGAAGCTGTGGAACGAAGAACGGGTGATTGTTTTCTCTCGATGACCACGGCTTGAGATTTCCCCACGTGGAATCTCGATCATGACGAGCGTGTCCTTCACGATCCGCGTTGACTGGAGCGAAAGATTTGGATGTTGATTCAAGTGTGGAAAACGTTTGTGAAAAAAACAAGTAAAGTGTGTAAGTAGAAACCTGCACATTGCTTCCTCATAGTTTTTAAGTGTGCAAGTAGAAACCTTTGCTCACAAAGCTTCCTCTATTTGTTTTGGCTTCCTCATAGAGGAAGCTTTGTGAGCAAAGGTTTCTACTTGCAAAAAACCCCTTTACCGATCACCGCCAAATTCAATACCGACCTTCCTTGAATGATACTCTATTGATTAAAAAAAAAAAAAAAACAGCCCGATATCTCAATATTTGCGGAAGTTAGAACAACTACAGACATTTTTAAAAAAATTCAAAATTTTTTTAAAAAAACTCCTTTACCCCGATTATTCTATCAAACTATATAAAATTTTTTGAATTTTTTTTAGAAATATTCGTGGTTGCTATAACATTTGCAAATTTTGAAATATTGAACTATTTCTAATTTTATTATATTCTTCAGTCTTTTCTACCTCTATTTCATGTATAATTTTTTAAAATTTGGTAATTAGTTTTTGAGTTAAAGAAATTTCAGTAAACTTGGTTGTTTTTTTAACAGAAATCGATAACCCCTTTATTATTAACAATTTTTATTAATTCTATTATATTCTTCAGACTTTTCTACCCCTATTTCATATATAATTGGTTAAGATTTGGTTGATCAGTTCTGGAGTTATAGAAATTTCGGTAAATTTGGCACATACATACACACATGCATATATACATACCGACATTTTTTTTTAGGCGATATTTCGACGTTTTACAACAATCTGAACATATTGGCAGAAAAAACTCAAAAACCAATCTTTTCTTTGGTTTCTTCTACCCCTATTTCATATATAATTTTTTTTAATTTGGTTGACTAGATCCAACTTTATACACAATCAAAGGTTCATATACAAATTTACGAAAACAAAGCTTCCTCTATATGAGGAAGCAAAAGAGAAGAATATGATGACTGAGATGCCAGAGTGCAACCATTGTGAAGGATAAAGGCACGACGTGAGATTTCTTAAGTTACTCTGCGATAACAAATTCTTTGAAACAATTGATAAAATCAAGGATTGAAGAGACATTGAGAAATTGATAGTTTCCGATTTTTATTCCGGCTGGTGTTATTGCCTACGGTTGAAGAGTCACGAATTCCTTTTTCGATAGCGATAAGGTCTTCTTTTTGCAACAACCGAACGACGTGCTATAGCTCGACATCTTTAAAAGCTTTTATGTAAAAAGATTAAAAGGAACCGAGTGTGCATGCGCGCGCGCTCAGACATTGGTACTTTGTGCGTTTCGATCACAATATTGAAAACGGTGCGCGCCTGGCGCGATGCAATATTTCGAAACGACATGTTTCGTGACAGGAGGAAATCGTTAGAAACTTTCTGCCTTTATTGCTGACAGCAGTTTTAGACAGCAAGCGCACGCAAAAGATGTACTTGCTGTCTTAACGAATGTTTTGCTCATTCTTCATCTTCATTTAATAAATTAAGAAAAGACAGTAAACTTTCTCATTTCTGAAGACTGTATTCTATTTAATGCATCAACTCATAATTATTCGAATAATAATCTCTACCGGATGAGTTTATCTCAATCAAATTAATTACCTCTCGCCATTTAATAAAGAAACAATCTCGATTGATAAAATTGATCAATCTCCTAGTCTATTTAATTGATGAACATATTCGGCGCTGGACTAACCAAGCGTATGTATTAGTTTAATTCTTATTTTGCAGGAACGTGTGGAGATAATCGTCTCTTATTGCGCGTGTAGTTAAATAACAGGCGGCCTTGATAATAATAATAGTCAGCTGAGATTTAGTGCAGTACGTCGCATTGTCGTCCGCGTTGCCTTTAAATTTCTGTCACGACGTTCACAATTTTATGATGTCATTATAAAAGTTTATCGTTATAACGACGCGCGTTTATCAAATTCGTGACGATTCAGAAAGAAAAGCACGTAATCGTGCATAAAAGTAATATTGCTTATCGCGTATAAATACGTATAAAACATCGGAAGTCAGCTGATACTAACAATAAGTCATATCTCGTCTCTATAGCGCGATTTAGAAATTTCATATAGATATCGAGCTAAACAATTTTTTTTTTTTTGACGCGGATAAATCTTTTACTATTGGGATCCCGGGCCAAAGCCCGGTTTGCCCAGTATCCTTCTCTATGAAGAGGAAGGGGAAGAACCACTCGCCTCCGGGGAGAGGCGAGGGGAGTGCCGGATTTTTACCGACTAAAATCCCGCGGGTGTCCTTCACGGCGCGTTTTTTCGGTTAAGAGATGGGGCCCCGGGTAGCGCAATGATTCGTCCGGGACCCCCTCCCCCGCCGCGCCGCGCCTGATAGCTGGGCGCCTATCCCGGGGCGTTTAACGCCCCGCGGTCCTAACAAAAACCTAACTCCGTGTGGCGGGTTGAAGAGATACCAACCCCAACCCGCCACCCCTCGCGTTGGAGGTTATTGCGACGGACGCGCGGTTACCCCGCCCGCGCGCCCAGCATGCCCATCAATTGGTCCTCCTTCAATATGTGGACCGGACCAATTTCTCACATATCCGATGTCGCCCCCAAGTGGGGGGAGCTGAATAATTACGCTAATTATTTTAATATAAAAAAATCAAAATAATTATAATCAACGATAATTGTAACATATGTAATAAAAATCGAGAATTAATAAATAATATCGCTTATTTTTCTTTGAAAAAGATCCACGATTATACGTATGTACATTATGTTATATTTGAAATGTATTCCACAATTCTTTTCTACATTTTTTCACACAGTTTTCTTTCAATTTTTTTCCTTAACGCAATATTGCAAATTTGAGAGATGATAATGTTAAACCTATTCAATGATATATTTACGGATTTCCCCGTATCTTTATCTAGGAGCATGAAAGAGAGTCATTTCTTCATATAAATCTGACGTTGTATGAAAAGATCACCTTATCAATATCGACAAATATTATAGTATACAATTAGTCTAAGGCAGAAACACAAACACGACGGAAGATGCATGCTCACGCGTGGGTATGTCCCTGATTTGTCGAAAGAGGTGGGAGCACGTGTCGCTGCTGCCGCGAACACGCTGAGAAAGTACGCGATATATTAGTCTTCGTCGGGCGTACTCGCGAGATCGGCCGCCGCGCCGAGCCAACAGCGGTTTCATCGATCGTTACCATCCGGAGTTTGCGACTCGTAGAGTCGTAGATCGGCCGATTTATCATGGCGAGACACACGGTACGTTGTCCGGCGATGTGGCGAATCCGCCGTTCTCTCTGGGTGTGTGAAGTTGGCACCCCTACTTTAAAATTTGATAGTTCTGATTAGAGTTCCAGCTTCTTTTCGAAGAGTATAGAAGTACTTATATTTTCTTAAAAAGAGTTCCGGCGATTAACACTACGAAAAAGGCAATTAAAAAATGGGGTGCTAACTTCACACTCAACTTTAAGACCGAATAGATCTGAATAGCTCATTTGAAGCATTTTGACGAGTACTATATAGTTCCTGATAAAAAAATTTTTTTTTTTAATTTTTTTAATAACAAAAAAATTCCAAAAGTTTAATTTGAGGCCAGAATAGTTCTAAGTAGCTCATTTGATTCCTTTCGAAAAGTTCTCGAGTTCTGATAAATAAAAAATTGAAAAACCTTAGAATTGTATTAAAAAATCATCATCAAAAGTTACACAAATGACATTCACGGAAGATCTTCGAAGCCGAATATCTTTTTAACTAATGACCGGATCGCTTTCGACCATAATAATTTCTTTCAGAACTCTTAGAGCTCTATCCAAAACTCTCATCAGAACGCCTGAAACTCTTGAAAAAAATTTCTATGCGGACTTGGTTGAATTTCACTCGTTGCATCTTCGAAGTCGAATATCTTTTTAACTAGTGGCCCGATCGCTTTCGACCATAATAATTTCTTTCAAAACTCTTAGAGCTCTATCCGGAACTCTTTAGAAATTGCTTCAGGATGCTCTGAACTACACGAGCAACAATTCTAAGGTTTTGCAATTTTTTATTTATCAGAACTTTAGAATTTTTCGAAAGGAATCAAATGAGCTACTTATAACTATTCTGGCTTGAAATTAAACTTTTGGAATTTTTTTTGTTATTAAAACAATTCAAAAAAAATTTTTTTTATCAGGAACTATAGTATTCGTCAAAATGCTTCAAATGAGCTATTCAGAACTATTCGGTCTTAAAGTTGAGTGTGAAGTTAGCACCCCATTTTTTAATTGCCTTTTTCGTAATGTTAATCGCCGGAACTCTTTTTAAAAAAAATATAAGTACTCCTATACTCTTCGAAAAGAAGCTGGAACTCTAATCAGAACTATCAAATTTTAAAGTAGGGGTGCCAACTTCACACACCCGCTCTCTCTCTTTTTTTCCCCTCATTCATTCTGTGACAATCGCCGGACGGAGAAACCGATTTTTCCCCCACAAATCTATCGTTAATTCCCGATAATTCCCTCGAGCGTCTTCGATCAAAATGTAAAGAAAAGAGTTGTTTACTTACCCTTGAGTCGTATTTCTGTGAATTCTTACTATCGCTCTAAAACGGGCATTTCTAAGAAGTAAAGAGACAAGAGAGATATGTTTCCAATACCCTACTTTTTGCACCACTTGTCCCCCGATCCATTTCCCCGTCGCGATACATTTAAAAGGAACAGTCGCGAAAATAAGTATATCGACCTATCAGAACTCGCGATCTACCATTATTGTGGAAGGGCTTTTATCCGACTTACTTCTGTTTCGATTTTGCTCATGGGACAGGCACAATGTCCCGACATATCGAATCGATAAGTCCATGAGAGCACTTTTCGTCAGACACGCGCGCCCACCGATGGGAAAGTTTCGAGGGTCCGAACCGTCTCGATTTATCGCCTTCTATCTGAACTCTCTCGCGTCCCTTTTCTTCGTCGTAGAATATACACGGCAATGCGCTCGAGGTATTAAACTCGTAGCAGTAAGTTATTTTTAGGTTCGATTCTTCCGATATATCGGGGTTGTCACCAATTTCGATTCACTGCGGATCTTTTTTTTTTGTTTACGCGGAAGAGGGGAAATGCCTCGCGCATTCCTGGGCCCCGGCTGCCTAGGATATGTGGGGCTTGCACCCACTAAAACCCCTCTCCCTAATACTGCGGATCTATTGCGTCAACATTGACTAACTCTAATCTTGATTAATCTTAATTTCTTTTCTTATTCGTATTATAATGATAAGATTATATAAAGATTACAAAGATTATAATCGATATAATCGTAGAACAAATAGAAAAATGCTAATCTCCAATTAAATAGAAATATCGGCGATTCGATCCAACAGAGAAAAAGTTTGGATTTTCCAGGTCGACTCCGTTTCATCGTTAATAAGATTACTCCTCGTTTTTTTATTCGCGATCAAAGTTACAATTTTAGAGGGCGAAGGAACAGAAAAGTGATCTTTTTCCTCGTAAAAATACTGTTCATTGGTTGGAAGAAATGCTAACGATCCATAGAACGGACCGAAGCTTTTCGCGGTTATCACAAACCGAAGTCGAGAATTCGCAAAGTTACGAACGTAGTTAGAAGTTTGGGCAATAATAGTAACTTTATTTTTAACATTTTTTGCGCGATACATTCTGTCCGTGCAGTCTGTTTCGTGGAATTTATGTACGTATTGTACGTGTGATCGTAATAAAGGAAAAACATCAAGACAAATTTTCATGGCAATCTGAAATTCTTTCAGCCTCTTCAACTCTTAATACTATTCGCTTTCGTGATCGTCATCGGCCAATCACGAACAGGTAGGTAAATTGATTTAATACCTTGCGTAATTATTAACGTTAAATAATATTCGGCAAATACGCAGTTTAATCGTTACTTATGGAAATGTAGATACCGGCGGGCTCAATAAATATTGATCCAAATGTTGTTTATATTTTAAATTTGTTAAATTTATTTGTGTAGCTTCACGTGTTGATGACACCGATGTTCGTAACAAGTATGACGTTCAAGTTAGGAAACCGTT